GCAGCTCCCCCCCGGATGAGATGGATCGCTGCCAGCCCAGGGGAGAGATGCGCTCCCCAGCTAGGGTGACCAGATGTCCTGATTTTATAGGGCCTGTCCTGATATTTGGGGCTTTGTCTCATATAGGCACCAATTACTCCCACCTAGGGTGATCAAACAGTGTGAAAAATCAGGACAGGGGGTGAGGGAGGGTGAGGGGGGTAATAGGAGCCTATATAAGACAAAGACCCAAAAATTGGGACTGTCCCTATAAAAGTGGGACATCTGCTCACCCTACCCCAACCCCCGTCCTGATTTTTCGCACATGCTATCTGGTCACCCTATCCCCAGCCCAGCCGTGTGTGACCATTCCAATCCTGGCTGGCTGCAGAGGAGGTGAGTTACTTTCACTTTCATTCCTTCCCCCGCCCCCAGCACCTCACCCAACCCAACCCTGCCGGAGGGGAGGGGGGGAGAGAGAGAGAGAGGGGTGCTCCTTGGGGTGGGGGAGAAGAATGGACGTTATGGGGGACAACAAAGGATACTGGTGCCAGAGCAGCCGAGCCTGCCTCACCTCACGCTGGGGGAAAGTCACACTCACAGGTGAGTTCCTTCCCCCACCCGTACCCGTACCCGTACCCTTCCCAGAGACCCCAGCAGCCAATCCCCTCCCTCAGACTGTGCTGCATTCGGCTCTCTCTAGGACCCAGCAGCCCTGCTCTTACATGCTCCACTGCTTCCCGTCTGTACGGGCTCCGGGCAGAGCGGTGCCCCCAGGTAGCGTGGTGCCCTAGGCGGCTGCCTGTTCTGCCTATGGCTAAGGACGGCCCTGCATGGAGCTGGGGTGGGAGGGAGGGCTTTGTGGGGCCACAATGTACAGCCTGTATTTCAGGGGTATTTCAACTGCGCAGTGTGGTAGAAATGAGCACAAGAGAAGACGTAGCACGATTGTGCGTTGTGGGCGGCAGTGATTGTGCCTCGGAATGACCCCTGTGGAAATTTTTAACATGAGGCCTTAGAATCCCCACAATGTTAGACAGCAAAACTGTCGGGCATCACAGCCTGGATGCCACTTGTGCTCTTGTGCTGCGGGAGGGCACCAGCAGTAATGATGTGTTTGAACCACACCTACCGTTTAAGGGCTTGAGTCTTGGTCTGGGCTGAACACTGGTATGAAGGAGAGGAGAGCAACAAAGATGATAAAATGTTTAGAAAACCTGACCTGTGAGGAAAGGTTAAAAAAACTGGGCATGTTTAGACTTGAGCAAAGAAGCCTGAGTTGGGCCATGATTATAGTCTTCAAACGTGTTAAGGGCTGTTATAAAGAGGGCAGTGATCAATTGTTCTCCATGTCCACTGAAGGCAGAGCAAGAAATAATGGGCTTAATCTGCAGCAAGGAAGATATAGATAAGATATTAGGAAAACTTTTCTAACTCTAAGGCTCCAATGTGCATTAATGGCCGACACTTTGTATCCTGGCAACAAATGGCTGGGGCCCTTCCCCCCTGCAAAGGAATAGCTAAATGTAAACAAAGAGATCAAGTGACCTCCTGGCCCGGGAAAGAGACGAAGGCCAGAAAGGAGGGGCTGGAGGGGCTTTCAGTTTGGAGCTGGCTGGGGACGGGAAGTGAGGGCAGACAGGGTTTTCTGTCTTGCTGGGCCCCAGAATGGACCCGGCTGAGGGATCCTGTTCTCTGTACCTACAAGCTCTGTTTTAGACCATGTTCCTGTCATAGAATAAACCTCTGTTTTACTGGCTGGCTGAGAGTCACGTCTGACTGTGAAGTTGGGGGTGCGTGCAGGACCCTCTGGCTTCCCCAGGACCCCGCCTGGGCGGACTCGCTGTGGGAAGCGCACGGAGGTTGCATATGCTGAATGCTGCAAGGTCAGACCCAGGAGGTGAAGCCATGTGAGCTTCTTGCCCTGAAGACAGTCTGCTCCAAGGGAGAGGAGGCTCCTCAAAGTCCTGACTGGCTTTGTGGGGAGCAGTTCCAGAGCATCGCCCGGGGACTCCGTGACAGCAGGGGAAGGACTAGATGACCTATCAAGGTCCCTTCCAGCCCCACATTCCTATGGTTCTGTGAAAGCCCCAGCCCAGGTGCTTCCCACTTCCCCAGCCAAGCGCTGAACCCAAAATGAAAGGTAGGACAGATTGTCCACCACTGGACTTGTTTCCTTTGCCCCTCTGGCTGACTCAGCATCTTCCCTCCCTGGCATGGGAGGGTGAAAGGCTCAGCCCTGCGGCAGTGGAGGTACCCTACATGCAGCCTCCAGAATAGCTTTCCTCCATTTTGTGCAGCCAAAGTGGTCCTGTGCCAATATAGCATCTGCATCCAACACCAAGCCAGGGCAGGATCCAGAGCCAGTTCTTCCACAGCATTGACGCCTGCTAGAATTGTGGCATTCCTGGTTATAAGGAATTCCTCTTAGAACAAGACCTCAAATGATGTGAATGCCTGCAGACACTGGGCATGCAGGAAGAGCGGTCTGGCCTTTCCCCTCACGGGGAGGAGGAATCAGCGCCCTGCTCAGGAGGTCGTGGTGGATCTAGCTGGCTTTGCTGAAGCTGCTGGGTCTAAAATGAATTGTCTCTTGCTCAGTTCCAGGCTCCCCCACCGGGATAAAAGCCTTCCCGTCTTCTGCCAGCAGCATGGTCGTGTCCTGGCTTCCCCCAGCTAAGCCGAACGGGATCATCCGGAAGTACACCATCTTCTGCTCCAGCCCTGGGTCCGGACAGCCGGTAAGTAGGACACGAGGGAGCGTGGGTGATTGGGCGGGTGCTTGGCAGTGAGGAATTAACTTTTCTGCTCAGAAGAGACTGCATGCACCCCTGGAGGGCATGCATGAAAACACCCTGGCCCCCCACTCCCAATATGCACCCCCAGCTAGCAGAGCCGCCTTGGGCTGCCTAGCAGCCTGGCACCGGATGTGGTAAACGGGCACACTGGGCTTGCCGTAGGAGGGACCTGGGAAACTTTCAGCTCAGTGCTCAAGGGGTCAGAAAGCACCTGGGGGCCCCTCAGCTACACGAGCTAATGGGTCAAATGGAAATGCAGGTGGGAAAGCCTAGGCGCCTTCTCACACTCCTAGCTGTCACCCCTTGTTTATTTAACAACCTGCCCCACTAGAGTCAAACCCAGGGCACAAGTCCCTGCCACTCGACCTAAACAAGTAACTGTTAGCAGATAGGAGTAGTGGGCTGTTATTCTCTGCATGGACCATCCCGAGGAAGGGGACATAACGTTTGTCTAGCATTTTGCATTTATTGCCTCTTGCTCATCTGGCCCTATGCATTCCTGATGCTCATAATCTAAAGGCACCTCTTAGCAGTGATAGCAGAAGCCCACTGCCCTGCGTATTAAAGTGAATCAGTTGTTTTTACGATGGATTAGTGTATTTCTTGAGCATTGGTGAATGTTCTGAATGCACCACAGATGGTTTCTGTCTTAGACTCCCCTCCACTTGTACATTTATTGCTGTGGTGTCAGTGGTTTATGGGTGTAAACTCAGCACTGGTGTCAGGGATCGCTTGTGCTTTTAAAAAGCAACCAAGTCACAAGATACATTTTAAGATGTCTCCTGTACGGTCCCCCAGTCAGTGCAGCCTGCAGGCACTGAACCCCTCCTGACACAGTTTCTGGATGGGGGATTTATCCGGGTCCTGGGGAATTCTCCAGAGCGGAGGCAGTCTTTTGTTTGTTCTACTTAGGTGACATCTTCAACAAACAGGCCCTGGTGTCCCGTGCAACAGCATTTCTTGTGTTTAGAGCTTGTCAGGAGCCCTTGTCTTCTTGCAGGAAATTTGTGGGCAGAAAGAAAGAGGCCAGCGCACGTGCGTGAGAGAGAGCAAGATAGCGCACACATTTGCGGGGGTGAATGTTAGTCCTCAGTAAGACTGAGAGGCTGAGCGGAGAGCCAGGCACACAGCAGACAAGGGCTGCATCAGCTGCCCATCAGCCCTGACCTGCAGCATCCCCATTATTCCAGAGAACACTGTTCCTCCCTCCCAAGCTCTGCTGGTGCCCCAGAGTCCTGATCCCCAGCAGCCCCTGGTACCCCAGTTCTGACTCTCTGCTCCACAGGCTGCTAATTATTCTGAAATGGGCAGAGCTGAAGGACGCCCTCCCCCTACAGAAATGACTCACCCTCAGCCCCTTCCCCAACGTGAACTCACTTGAATTCCTACTTCTAGAGATGAGAAGCCCAGACTGTTTGATAGGGCTGCCCTTCCTCTTCCATTGCACAGCTCCCTGGCTGCAGGCCAGGCAGGGAGATGTGCCATGTAGGTGGAGGAAGCTTCTCTTAAACTAGTAGCATCAAGTTGAAAAGGAATAGACCAACTCCAGGAGTGAGAGGGGGAACCTTTAAAGAACTGAGCTGGGATCCCGGATCACTTCTAGTGTAAGGGGAAAACAGAGGAATGTGCCCTGCCACCGTACATCTGCCCTGACATTTCCAAGGAGCCTGGCCCATGGAAGATTTAGGCTCTTTGCGTCTGGTATCAATCCGCTCCGGGTCTGTGCTACCTGCAGACACTTCCACTTCATCTACCATGCCCGACTCTGTCTAAAACAAGCTGCTTAGTGGATTCATGTTTTATAGATTTTCATGTTCTGTTGTTTACAAACCTCGTTGGAGTAAATATCTGAGCGATGTTCCAGCTGCAGGTGTGTGTCAGGGAGGCCGTGTCAGGCAGTGTGAAAATATCCCACTGAAAGCAAAACAACTCGATACCGCACCTCAGAAATCAGAGGAGATAGCCCAGCTGGTCCTGTCGGGTCCATCCTACTGGGTCAGTGCGGGATTGGTTCTTGCTATGTGTGGGACGTGGGTTTCTCCATCCTGTCTCTCGGGAACTTCCTTAGGGGACACGGTTGTATAAAATTTCCTTTCATAAAATCATAGAATATCAGGGTTGGAAGGGACCTCAGGAGGTCATCTAGTCCAACCCCCTGTTCAAAATAGAACTAATCCCCAACTAAATCATTTTTTTTGCTCAGCTTCATCCCCTGTTCCTAGTTACACCCACTCCTCTTCCTCCCGACAGTCAACCCTCTTCAGACAAAGGGAAGCCTGCACAGGAAGTCTCCTAAACTAGACATCCTCCCTGTCTCAGGGTTTGTCTACACAGGAAGTTGGTTTGGATTAAGTGAGAGTTTAAAGCAGACTAGCTATTCCTGATTAACCGCTTGTGTGAGCACTCTTATTCTGGAATAAGAGAATACACACGATGTGAATCAGGAATAACTCCCCAAGTAGACAAGCCCCTGGAGCACTACACAGGAGTATCCCCTGGTGCATAGAGGAGGGGTCTCCTGCACCTTTCAGAAGACCCAGCTTGATTAAGCAGCTGATCTTCGTCTGCCCTGCTCTCCGTTAAGGAAGGAGTCACTGTGTGCGCACAGCTCTTGTGTCTCTCCCTACACACCCCTCGCTCTATTTTAGCGAAACTGTGTCCTGGGGATCCACTCCAGCTGGGATTCCCAAAGGAGCTGAGGCAAATTGGTGCACAAATCCCATACGATTTCAATAGGCGCTGGCTGGGTGCCTGCCTCCCTTGGGAAATCCCAGCCTTAAGCAAATTGTTTGAATTTGGGAGCCTCAAGCCCAGCGCCTAGATGTCAGTGGCCTGGTTTGTCCAGGTGCCGAGCAACCAGTAGACTCAGGTCGCTGCATCCCGTCAGGACCTCAGGCTGCGTTTATACAGGTGCTAGAGTTTAGGTCCTGAGCCCTGGACCCTTTGGCCTTGGCTCTTGCCCTCTCTCTCTTTGTGGGCTCCCTCTGTCCCTGAACCGTTATTGTTCTGCTCTGAATCTCCTCGGTTGGTCACTCTCTGGTTCTGGGTGCTCTGCAGTATGGAGGTTCGGGCACAGAGTGGCGATCCCTGCTCCATAATGTACCAGCCCCAGCTTGCCCAGGCTTCAGGCTTTTCTATTGCATTGCAAGCACATGCCCATTTGGGCCCCTTTGGCCCCTCCCAGCACCCAGGCTGTGTCCAGTTGTGGCAGTTGATCTTCTGCCAACTCCTAAGAGAAGATGAGGGCTCGTGTCCCCATTTCCATGGGGCAGGTGTAGACTGGTTTCTAGACTGATGCCATTTCTACTTTGCTGGGGGAGGGGGAAGGAAAAGCAAAGGATCTAAAACAAAGCAGCTGCTCCTGCTGGAGCGGGATTCACAGTAGCGGGACCCAGAACTGGGTGTTGCTGCTGCATAGAGCAGGGGAGAGGGATTAATTGGGAAAAATATTAATAATAGAGCCAAGTGTTGTTGATGAAGGTCGATTTGATTCAGCTCCACACACGGTGCAGGTACTCACACTCCTGTTACAGAGGGATTTCTGCAAATAAATGTGTGTACAGTTTGCATTGGATCATAATCTCCCTATCTGTTTATTACCTTCCATCACCCATCCCACACCTCGTCCCTGCACGGATTTCAAAGGGGCTAATTTAGGAGACATTTCTCTTACCAGCAGCTGACCGAAATTAAAATAAAAATTAAACAGGGTCCCATCCCGTCTTCATGAGGGGAGAGGTTGACAGGAGGTTTGCAAACTAGGGCTTATCAAAAGCTCCTTCTCAAATTCATTTCAATATCTAAGCCTCTGGTTTCCAGGGCAACACAATCTTTTCATCTAAGCAACTGGTAAAACCGCTGGCATCCGATATTGTTTTCTTGGCATAATGTTAAAACTGTCATTTGGTTAAAAAATTATACATATATAAATATTACATTTTATACATATATTGTGATACAGCATGGCCAGAGGGCAGCAGGAGAGGGTTAGAAGGGAGCCTTATTCCCTGTAGAGGGAAGAAAGTTTGCTATAGATTAATTAGAGCACCTGAAGCCAATTAGAGCACCTGAAGTCAGTCACCTGACAACATCAATCAGACAGGGGAAGGAGTTAGAGCAGAGTGGATTGATGTTGGAGCAGAGAACAGTTCGAAGGAGTAGAAACAGAGTGGATTGGTGTTTGAGCAGAGAGCGGTTCGGAGGGAAGCAGAGGAAAGGTTGGAGAAGTGCGGCGGTGGGCTAAGAAGACCAAGACCCTAGGTAAAGGGACACCTGGCTTGTGCAGAGGGAGGGCAGGAAGCCCCCACAAGCTGAAGGGCAGGAGAGGGAAGTAGCCCAGGGGAAGGAACCACTAGTTCAAGTGGTTTACCACTATCCCTAGGGCCCCTGGGCTGGGATCCAGAGTAGAGGGCGGGCCCGGGTCCCTCCCTCTTCACTCCCCTCCTGTAGGACACTAGTGGGGCAGTTAATATCCTGGTTCAGGGGCAAGAAACGGTGCCCTGGAAACCCCCCCCCACACACACAAGAAGAGAGAGCGCGAGACCCATCATAGTAGTGCCGGCAATTTGCCACAATATACACTATATATTATGTGTGTGTGTGTATGTTACAATATATGTAAATATATCTAATATGTAGATAGGTGTATACACACACAAACATATGAATAGTGTGTGTCTGTGTGTGTATACACATGCACACGTAAGTGTTTTTACATATATGGGTCTGTATGTGTGTGTATATATATATATATATTTAAACAAAATATCCATCCCATAGACTAGAAAATTAATTGTTGAATTCCCTCTCCCTCACGGCCCATCCCTTCCCCTGTGAGTAGCATACCAGACAAACAACATGTTGTTGATGGGCTAGGTGGATGGCTCCGGGTTGTTTCACAGTTGGTAGAGCAGCATTTTCATGCCCTTATGGTGGCGTGATAA